CTGGGGAATTCTGGGAGTTGGAGTCCACACATCTTAAAGTTGCCAAGTTTGAAAAACACTGTTCTAGTTCATTATTCAGGAAGGATTTCTTTAATTTGGAAAGAGTGCCAGATGAGTTTTTTTTTTTTTTTTTGCTTGCTTTGTGAAGGATGCTAAAGTATTACAATTTGACAGAAAAGAATCATGATAGTGGACCAAGTGTTCAGATCTTTTCAAAAATAATATCAGTAATTGATTGGGTTCAAAGATGGGGTTGTACAAATAATTGTGCAGAAGAGAGTTTTAGTAAGCCTGATCATAACATTTGCAGGAACTCCCCCTTTCACACAACCCGTCAATTCATAATTTGCTGTTATACTGTAATTAATGCACTGTTCCATAGTACTGTATTATAAGAGGTAAAAATACTTTTTGCATTTCTTTGTTTTTAAAGAAAATCAGATTGCAAGTTTGATTTTAAGTTCCATTTACAACTCAGTCTCTTATATACCTTCTTAGTAGTGGCCCTCACTTTGTGGAATACCCTCACCCTGGAAGTAGAGATGTTCCTGTCCTTGCTGGATTTTGTTAGCATATCAAAACAATCTTACTCCAGTGTGAGTCTGGCCATTAGTTTACTGTAGTTTGTTTAGTTTTATGGGTGCCAATAAGGCTTATAACTGACGTTTTAAAAATATATTATGTTAATTTTGTATACTGGTTTATAATTTCCTTTGCTTTAACTTTGTTGTACCCTACCTAGGATATATTAGGAATGAGGCGGGCTATAAATATTGTGAAATAAATGAATAAATATGACTTACTCAGAAATAAATACCACTAAGATAATAAGATGTATTATAGCACTGCAGTCTTATTTGAATTTTAAGAAGCATTTTATAAGCTTGAATTATTCTTTATTTGACTGAATATGCTACCATCTACAATCCTAAAGCACTTTATACTGAATTTTACACCTGAAAGTAACAATGCTTTTTTATTTTTACAGATCCCATCATGACACGTTTTGTTTATATTATAGAGAAAATAAGATTAGAAGCCATTTTTTTTTTTTTTTAGGAAGAGCTTATATGAGATAATTTCAGTCCTACAGTTGTAGTTAGTTGTATTCAGCTTTAATGTCTACCTTTTCTATTCCTAAGAAAAGCCACATTAGTGAGCTTGGTGGGTCTTCACAAGAAAAGCCCCCAGAAAGTGTCTATTCGGTACTTGGGCTTGGACAACAATTAAAACCCCATGTATTAGGGTATGAGAGAACCAATTCACTCTCACACTCTTTGAATAAGACTAAAGAAATAAACAGGACCTATGTAGTTTCTGCCTGTAACAAACTGTCCAATGCTTTACCTGCACATACATCAGAAGTCAAGTTGACTCTCCAAAGATCAGCAACAAGCAAAGGAGAATCCAGTACGGATAAAATTCATGGCAGTGATAGTACACTACCAGAAGGAAGATTAACCCTACAGCGCCGGATGGTAACTGGGTCAACTGAGAAGTCTAAGACCAATAATATTTATGGAGCTAGAACAGAAAATGCCAGGTACCTGCCACAGAAAAGTAATAATGCTCCATTTCCATCCAAAGCTAACAGCAGTGATATTTCACTTATTAAGGCTGGTCTTAAAGGTAGCATGGCTGGAAAGACAAATCCTGATACAAAAACTGATTTGCTTTCTAAACATAGCAGTAATGTTACTGGGAATGTCACACGTTTAAAGCCCAGGACACCTGATGCTGCCCCTTCTCAAAATCAAAACGAGATTTCTCCATTATTATGCTTAACCAACGCAAAACGTGATGGTAAGCCATCAGCATTAAAACCAGACAGAAAGTTCAGTAAACTAAGTGGAACCGAAAGTTGGCAAAATAATGCTACTAAAAATGTATATTTAGAAAGACAGAAGACACCAAGGAAAGATACAGCAGAAGCCCTTAAATTGAATGCCCAGTATGCTTCTGTTCAATACTCCAAGAGTCCTGCTGCCTCCGTCTTAAAAAATAGGATGCCTTCTCTTCAAATCTCACAAAAGGACAGCAGCTCTGCATTCACTCCAACAGGTAAAATGGGGAAGATAAAAGAAAATACCACATATATTCAACAAACTACTTCAGTTAAAGAAGACAGTGTAAAGCAGAATGGGTGCACTAAAGACAATCCTTTTAAAATAGAAAATAGTAAAGTGACTGTGGCTGTGAGAGTACGTCCCTTTAGTTTCAGGTAAGCCTTTATAATTGTTTGGGATTTATCACTACAATTATACAGATAGTTGTGTACTTCTGCCAAGATAATGATTATCATGAAGACTCTTTAATGACTTACAAGAGCTATCCAATTTTACTCCTGTTGTCTCTTTCCCTAGTCCAGGGTTTCTTGACCTCAGCAACTTTAAGGTTTGGGAACTTCAGCTCCTAGAATTCCCCAGCCGGAATGCTGGCTGGGGAATTCTGGGAGTCGAAGTTCATATAAATTAAAGTTGCTGAGATTGAGAAACATTGCCCTAGTCTATTATCTACAGTTAATCTCCAGCTTTGCAATATAATGGCTTCCATATTTGTCTTTATTTCTGCTTTCAGCCTTTCCTGAATCCATGTAGTTTTGGATAGGCTGGAGACACATTTGCTTCAAAACCTACCACCACCACAACTCCAACTCTAGCAATTATTATTTTGAACCTCAGGAGTTCCAGGTGCACCCCCTAATGTTATATTTTATATGATGCAAGTCCAATTCCAACAGTTTAATGGCTTTCAGATGGTTAATAATGTGCAGATTTTGCGGCAGAAACATCATGCCTTCTTTGTCTTCCTCTGCACCCTTATTTTGTGTAATATTAAGCCTAATGAAATGTTCTGGAGAATTCAATTTTGCTTTCAAAATTTGGACATTTTGGTTGATCATAATTAGATCATGGCTTCTCATTTTTTAAAAAAATTATTAATTTTCTAATGATTCTAATCAGCTTTCACATTATGGGGAAAAATCCACAAAATCCAACCAAACCTTAATAACCAATTTTAAAAACTTGTATTTGCCCTATTTATTTTATATCGCCTTGTCTTTTGATACTAAATAATATTAAATATGCTTTCACTGAATAATTAAGTCTATCTTTTGTGTAGTAGACATATAGTTGCATTGCATCATGTTCTACTTACTTCAGTTTTATTGCCTATATTTGATTTTGGGCTGTATTTTATTATATTTGTTTGTTTGTGAGATTATATTTCACTTTTCATTCAAGAGCTCAAAGTGATATACTGTACATTACACTTTTTCTTCCTGTTTTTCCCTGCAACAACCCTGTGGGATAGGTAGAGCTGAAAGAGACTGATTGCTCACAGTCACCCAGTGATCTACTGTAGCTGATGCTGGATTAGAACCTGGGACTTTACAGTACCAGCCTTAACTACTACATCATGATGGTCCTGAGCTATTTTGATTTAAGTTGATTCCACACATGAATTCTATGGTTCTGGTGGTGTAAAATCTTAGATATCAGTACTTTTTATCAGTACTAAACTTATTCTAGGTTTAGATATTGCACATAAAGAAAATTTATTATAATGTAAAAATGATTATAAAATGATATTCCTGATCACGATAGAGTTTTTATCTTTCCACAATTAACTCATATCCCAAATGTTGTGATTCCCTATACACTATAGTTCCTAGAACACCAGCTAGATAAATGCAAATTAATTTGTTAATTTTCATGACTGTTTTAGATCTAATGTGTTGAGTATTTACTTTATTGCAAATTACATTTATTTTGTGTTTTTATCTAGAGACAAAAATGAAGAATCAGTTCAAGTGGTTTCTATGGAAGGGCAAGAGACTGTTGTTCATCATCCATCTACAAAACAAATGTATAGTTTCACCTTTGACTTTTCATTCTGGTCTTTTGATAAGCGTCATAACTATGCAAACCAAGAAAAAATATACCAGTCCTTGGCAATGCCTCTTCTAGAAACGGCCTTTGAAGGATACAATGCTTGCCTTTTTGCATATGGACAGACTGGTTCTGGAAAATCTTATACGTAAGTTGAGTTGGAAGTGTGCATTTTTTGGGGTAGATGAGGAGCAGCAGTATTCAATATACGTTGCCTTCCACAGTGCTCTTTAAGTAAGATTTTTACTGAAATATGGTTGCATCTGTTGAAATAAATGTAATCTATGAAACTAAGAACCTAAGCTAGTCTTTGAGATGCTGTGGGTCTTTCTGTTGTGTTTTGCTGCAACAGATTAACATCCTCAACCCTCTTTAGAATATAATTAGAAAGCAAGTACTCAGTGAAAAAATTTCACGCAAATCTGAGAAAATATTAACTAAATAAAAATGCCCGCAGTCCTGTAAACTAGGAGTAGAATAATATAATGGCAAAGAGATTTTAAAGCAGGAGTTTAACCAGAAATTTCTTGAAAATGTTATGAATGTACTAAGTGGTCTTAGGCAACCATCTTTTGGGTTGGATGTACAAATTATGCTAGGGCATAGTTTCTTTTAAATCTTGTTTGCTGGATAAGTGAGAATTAGCTGAATTCATATAACACGTGAAGTCAAAAACAATAAAAAATATTTTGATTCAATGGAATGGGTGAATCCAGTTTTTGTCTTGTCAACAATATAGAGGTAGTAATATTGATCTACTTAGAAAACATATTGTAAAGATGGCTATAACAAGATACGTGAGATCCGTTAAAAGTGCCATGCAAGTATTATTAACAGGGCCAGTTTTCTTCTGGAGTTCCAAAGGGGTGTAGGAGGCTTAATCACATGTTTAGAAGCTACAAACAATTGCTCTTCTATGTGATTCTGGCTGTGATGCTACAGAATGAATGTTAAGTTCCCAGTTTTAATTAGAAAGTCATAACTGGGCTGCATCCTATGTTCCCTCTAAGATCATTCTCCAAAACATGTTTTTTTTTTCCTGAGATATGAAGGAGAGAACTGACTTTCCTTCCCCAGCCAGCCTTCAAGGTTGGTACTTTCCAATAATTGGCAGTCTAATGTTGGCTAAAGAAGAAACGAGGCATTGGATGTACTGAGAAAATTGATGGACCTTCTGCATCCAGATACCTTCTGGCTCAGCTTTGGATCTGGAGAGCTTTATTCTTTCCAGTGTTTTCTCCCTCTTTTTCTAAATAAATGTATAAGGATAAGAACCTTTTCTTTTTTGTTTCCGGCTTGCCAGCAGTAGCTCAGCAGCCCATTTGCTTGTTTTCAGGATGCTCTAATTTTGGAGTATCCAAGAAGGAAGGTAAAATTGCTTTGCCTTATATATGTTATCAGATATGTTTACTGTTATATCATTTGAAGAAGAAATCTGTAAGAAACTCCTATCTTTGTCATTAGATCAGTTTGCATTAGAGATAGAGAGAGACTAGTTTCACTCATGAATAGTCTAATGAACATGGCTCATTATTTTTTTTCAACGCTAGGAGACTTTGCAGTATTCTGATTCTGTAGAACAGTGTTTCCCAACCTTGGCAACTTTAAGATGTGTGGACTTCATCTCCCAGAATTCCCCAGCCAGTATGTCTTAAAGTTGCCAAGGTTAGAAACACTGCTGTAGAACAATTTTGTTGATTTCAGCTGAAGTTGGTCTTCAGCTGAAAACCTTGATCTCTTTCATATTGAGAGTGATTTGAAGAAATGCAAAAGTCTTCTTCTGCTGAATTGAATATATTTAAATTGTCATTACAGCATGATGGGATTTGATGATGATGAACGAGGAATAATACCAAGATTCTGTCAAGATCTTTTTTATCAAATAGCAGAAAAAGAAGCACAACAGGTACTATAATACTTACATCCTCATCAGTTTGGGACTAAAATGTTTTTTAGCTTGTGATAACTAAATGTGTGTTTCATCATCAGTTTCTGTAATTTAGATGGAAATAAAATAAAACTTTGTAGTAGTGCTTAAACTGTGATAAATTTCAGTAGCTGACATGGATAGAAGATAACCTTTATAAAAATGCATATAATGAACAATATCATCTAGGTTAACTTCATGCCATGTAATTTCTACAATTCTTTTAGTATGGGAAGTACAACTTACTTCAGATGCATGCTAGGATTTTCAAAAACTGGTTTGCAGATCTAATGCAGCATTATCAAGGGTATGTCAAATAGCATAAGAAACCAATTCTTACTTCAGGTGAAGGTTTTTACATACTGCTACTTTGATTTGTCCAGGATGCATTATGATATATTGAAACATTTTTATAAGCACCATAAAGTTGGATCTTGTGTTGTATCAGAAGTAGTTAGGCTACTATTGCAGAGTGATGTGCCTCATGTAAAAATTGGGCAAAATATACTTACAACTGTAACATTTAAAAACAGTACTGACTGTTGGTAGAAAGGAACTTGATCCTTGACAATGATCCTTGATTATTGTTCATCCTAGAAATTGTTAGGGTCTGCATTTACGCATTTGAAGATAAGTTTGGCCATCCATCCTAATTAAGATATCAGTATAAATACACCAGGTAAAGAGATGAGTAAGCAAGAAATGGTGATAGTTTTGAAGGAACATGCACTGGTTATGTCTATACCGTTGGAGAAAAAATTTCAAGCATCAGCCAGAGATGTGTCTTTCACAGTTTCTCTCCTTTTCCCCAAATTGTAAATGTTCTTTACATGTTTACTGAGGGCTGAATATTCCCATACTTCCTTGCTTAATCGAAAGCACTTCCATGTTTATGGTGGGCCTCAGCATTCTATGGTGGTCCTCTTAGTCTGAACTAAAGCTCCCAGCCTTACTCTCCATGTGATTATGTTGATTTCCACAGTGGCAGAAGCATTTCTTGGAGATGTTCTGGTGTGGGTGGTATATGAACTGGCTAATAGGTGTTACTGCTGCTGAGTAAATTTGTTCATTTTTTTTTAATGGATGAGGACCTTTAAATGGTTTTGAGTATCTGTTAGGAGTGACCCAGCTAGCTCAGATAAATTTGTGTAATTGTTTCATTCTGTGCTTAATCCAGTTTCACGCTCTAGCTTGATGGGTTGATATTAAGGCAGAGGTGTGCAACTTTTCTTGGAGCTACACCATTGCATGTTAGGGAAATTAGCAATACCAGAACCTGTTTTGGGAGGGAGTTTTAGGTTGTGAGATTGGTGTCTTAAGCATCTGCAAGGTTTAAGGCACTCATTTTGCCTCTTAGGAACTTAAAACTTCTTCTGCCTTCAAATGGAACAATGGGGCCCAAATGTTGGGCTTCACCCTCTCTGTGGGGATTCTAAGAGTCACAAAATGTCCTTGGGTAACACTTTTGCAGGGTCCACTGTCATATAGCCATCTTTATTTTTCCATAGTACCTAATCAGCAATCAAACTTTTCTTCTTACTATTAGACTGCTTATCATCTTGAAATCAGCTATTTTGAAGTGTACAATGAAAAAATTCATGATTTGCTTATCTTCAGAGCTGAAAATGGAGAGAAGAAGCAACCTGTAAGTTAAAATATTAGTTCTAAGTAACTAGTCTAAGTTAATTTTTTTCTCTCTGTTATTTCATTCTACTATTTTGTTTTAACTCTTATTTTTAAACCTCTTAAAGTTTAGTCTGCATCCTGGTGCAATTCTTGCAGTGAAGTATATTAATACTCTTCATGCTTTATAAGTAACATGAAACACCTTGTTTCAAGAATTTTCACATTTTTATTGTGTTTCATTGAGATTTTTTAAAACATTCACATTTCTAATCAGCATGTTTTTTTTTTTTAAATTAACAGCTTCGTGTAAGAGAACATCCAGTCTTCGGACCTTACGTGGAGGACCTGACAGCGTAAGGGATTTATCCAATGGTGTCTTTTCCCTGATAGAATGGTATCTGCTAGCAGAAGTGATTTCTTCTCCCATTCTCCCTGTTTTCTCCAAATCTGCTGTTGAACTGGTTTGGGGAATGTGCAAAGAGCTGTAAGGAGAGGACTTAAAATTGATAGGAAGTTCCATTGTGCAAAGAGGAAGTCTATTTGGATATTCTTGGATTAGCCCATAAATTTTACTTTCTGAATTTTTCTGTGCAGAACTGCAGCTTTATTTGATGGTGACAAATATAACAAGAAAAGTCTTGCACTTATTTCTTAGTTATTGAAATTCAGTCCTCAACTAATCTTGAAATTCAGTCCTCAACTAATCTTATTTCCTCTGGGTTCTTTTTCATATGCCCTCTCTCATTAACTTCCTGCTCTTCTCCAGACTTCATTTTATTTTATCCACTGACCTTTGGGGTCTTGTTTCCTAATTGATTGACTACTGTATAGACTTCCAATAGAATAGCCATCCATTTCTCTTCTCCCTACCCTAGTTTCTTAATCAGTTTTCTAGACCTCAGTCTGTCCAGTGTGGATTCTCCTCCTTAGTCAAATATAAGTTCTAGTCGAACTCTTGGCTTTGCTTTTCTACATAGATGATAGACCGCAAACATTAGTTTGTAATTGCATTTAATTGGTTCTTGTGGCCTACAAGCAAGTAAAAAATAAATTCCTCTGCAAACTTTAAAAAGCTATGAGCAAGTATGCATTTCTGTTGTTCTATATCTATATCTCTAGGCCATTATAATGGTAGAACTGAGAGAAATTTAAGCTGATCACTTCATATATGTCAAATGTGTTGAATGTTTTTCTGACTAGATAAAATTATCCTTTTCCTTTTAGGAATGCTGTTAGTTCTTACTCAGATATCCAGGTAAAATTTGGTTACTGAAATATAAATTATGAATTTTTCAAAGGAATATATAAAGATATTACCAT